GCTTCAGCCATTTCATCATCTTCTTGATCTTGGATTTTCCAGCACTTTCAACTGCTGTTTTTCTTTAATTTTCTGCCCTTCTGATTTTGTGACTGCAAGTCTTGAAGTTTTTGTTTTTTATTTGATCCAAACTCCCTTGATTGCAACTCTTCTTTCATAGTCGATCAACTTTCTTTAGCATATGATCAACCTCACTCAAAGAACTTTCACTTCGTGCATCTTCTCATCAGATTTTTAAGGACAGATGCTGATTTTTTTTCTTCANGAACTCTCTACTTGCATATTCTCATCAGATTTTTAAGGACTGCAGTGGATTCTTTTTCTTCATTCAACCTGGATTGACTACAAGCTTTGACCTTTTTGTTTTCTACAAGTTTTTTAGCTCTAATCTTCAAAAATTAGTTTTTCAACTCTAATCCTTGCAAAAACACCCAAATTCAACCCATTTCATCATCATTTTTCACCAGATTTACTCTATTTAGCTTCAGCATCAAATTTTTTTTCAAACTGGTTCACTCATTTTTCTCAGCCACTTTCAACACCATCTGAGACATTCATTTCCCAGGGCTGATGCTGATCTTTGAGCTATCAGATTTGACTTTCATCAGCTTCATTTTCAGCATCATTTTTTGCACCTGTCTTTTTTTTTTCATCAGACAACTTCATCTTCTTCATTTTCAGCATCTTGGTCCCTTCTAAGATCCTTTGGAAGCTCTGATACCATGTTGGGATTTCAATGATCTAAAGCTCTTATCATTTTGTATGGAAGAGAGTGGATTATCATTTACCGGTTAGTGAAGTAACCGGACTTTCAAAACATAAAACATATAAAAACAAACTAAAATCACTCTATTCTTATAGAACAGAGGAGAATGAGAACACTCTTGAGACTACATTTTCTCAAAACGTTTTTCTTCCATATTTCCTTTTTTTTGTTTTTACAACTTGACTCTATTTATAGCCAACTTTTTATAGATATTTACTAGATATTTCTACCATTTTACAATCCACTTGCTTGTAGTAGCTCACAACTAG